GGGTGGTGGATGGAACCACAGGGGAAGAAGCAGGCTCCCTGGCCTGGGCGAGGGCTGCAGGCTGGGGTCTCTGCATGACCCCGTGCGCTCAGGGCAAGGAGTGCCCAACCTCTGTGACCCCCAGGACGGCATCTGCCACCGCACCCTGCTGGGCGCGGCCTTCGCTCAGTGCAGCCAGCTGGTGGATGCCGGTGCGTACGTGGCTGCCTGCGCCCAGGACCTGTGCCGTTGCCCCAGTTGTCCGTGTGCCACCTTTGCTGAATACTCCCGCCAGTGTGCCCACGCCGGGGGCCAGCCGCAGAGCTGGAGGGGCCCCGACTTCTGCCGTGAGTGCCCCCCTGGGCCTGGGCCGGGGAGCACTGGGGCCAGCCCCGAGTCCCCGGGGAGGGGCCGAGGGCTGGGAGCCCTGGGAGGACACCCGTGTCTGGCTGGGGACACGGCAGGTGCCGTCTCCCGGGGCCCACAGTGAGGGGATGGGCTGGGGAGCAGTTTGGAGTATGCGGGGCCCAGGGACTGGGTCAGGCACAGTGGGCTAAGCCCCCCAGAACCCGGGAGGCGCTAGGCCATGACCCCCTCTCTCCTAACCCAGGGGGTAGCGGGGCCAGGACGAGCAGTCCACGGCTTCTGAGACCAGGGCCCAGGCCCGGCTGTGGCTCTCGGGACCCTTGGTGGCGCAAGAGAGGTGGGAGCAGAGATGGCCTGTCTGCTTCCTGAGGGCCAAGCACTGTCCCCTCCCTGCAGCCCGGACGTGCCCCCTCAACCTGCAGTACCAGGAGTGTGGCTCCCCGTGCGCCGACACCTGCTCCAACTCCGAGCGGTCCCAGCTCTGCGAGGACCACTGTGTGGACGGCTGCTTCTGCCCCCCAGGCAAGTCCTCCTGGCTTTTGGGGACTGTCCCCGACCCGGGCCCTTTGCCCCGCTCCCCATGTCTGCCTCTGGTCACGGTGCTCCCAATGCCCAGCCTCAGCCTCGCTGACCTGCCCACCCCCCAGGCACGGTGCTGGACGACATCACGAACACGGGCTGCCTGCCCGTGGACCAGTGCCCCTGCGCCCACAGCGGCCGCACCTATGCCCCGGGGGCCTCCTTCAGCACCCACTGCAGCTCCTGGTAGGCCCGTGGCCCTGCCCCGCCTGGGGGGAGGGGGAGGTGGGGTCTGCCTCCTCTCTCACCTGCCCCCCCTGCTCACGGCTCCCCCCAGCACCTGCTTTGGGGGGCTGTGGCAGTGCCAGGACCTCCCGTGCCCAGGCACCTGCTCCGTTCAGGGCGGGTCCCACATCTCCACCTACGACGAGAAACTCTATGACCTGCATGGGGACTGCAGCTACGTCCTGTCCAAGGTGTGGCCCTCAGCCCTCCTCCGTCCCCGGGCGGCGTCCAGCGGTGGACACCAGGGCGGGCCCCATCCCGAGAGGGAAGCCCCTGGACTCGCACTCACGGGGCCAAGACAAGCTGCCTGGAGGTGACCGCCTGCCTCCGCCCTGACCGGCACGGGGCGCCACACACTCAACCCTCCCTGCTTCGCCTTCAGAGATGCATGGACAACAGCCTCACCGTGCTGGCCGAGCTGCGCAAGTGTGGCCTGACGGACAATGAGAACTGCCTCAAGGCGGTGACACTGAGCATGAGCGGTGGGGACACGGTGAGGGTCCTGCCGGCTGGGAGAGCAGGTGGCGACTGGGGAGCCAGGAGAGGATGGGGACCGGGATGGGGAAAGGGAACAGGCCTGTGGCCCCGGGTGGCCGGCCTCCAGGCTGTCCTGGGGCCACATCACGTCCCACACTGAGGCCAGCCCACCTCCCTGCTAGACCATCCGGATCCAGGCCAACGGCGGCGTGCTCATGAACTCCATCTACACCCAGCTGCCCGTGTCAGCAGGTACGCGGCCCCGGGATGGCTGGCCACCTCCAGCGGGCCCGCATGGAGCCCGTTCTCATGGCCTCGGGCAGCTCCAGAACATTCCAGAGCTGGCTCACCACGGGCAGAGCGCAGTGGCAGTGGCCCTGCCTGTGGCTGCTGTCGGTACCTGGCGTTGAACACGCTCAGTGCCTGAATTCTTGAGGCATCAGTGGTCAAGACCCCACTCCCAGGGCCCCGTGGGGTGGCTGGGGTCCACCAGCCGCCTGTCTGAGCGCCTCTTCAGGTCCCGGGTCATCCTGGGAGCACAGAGGCTCAGGCGCCGAGGGTCAGTGTGGCCAGGCCTGGCCTCCGGCCACCGCTGAGCATGCCCCCACCCCCCACAGCCAACATCACCATGTTCAGGCCCTCGACCTTCTTCATCCTGGTGCAGACGGGCCTCGGGTTGCAGATGGAGGTACAGCTGGTGCCCCTCATGCAGGTGGTCCTCAGGCTGGACCCCACCCACCGAGGCCAGATGTGTGGTGAGGCTCCGTGGCTGGGGGGACAGCGTGGGGGGCTGTAAGTAAGGGATGGGCAGAGTGTGGCAAGAGATGGGGAGCTGCTTACAGGGCTGACTGCACGGGGGAGGTGGCCTGGGAGTGAGCCACACAGCCGTCACTCAGGCCCTGTACAGGTGCAGGCCCCTCCAGCTTATCTGCAGATGGTTCTGGAATCTGAACACCAGTGTTGGGGGGGCCACAGGGGCCTGGGAGCAGGTCTGGCCTGGACAGCCTGGTGACCCTCTCCTTGGCCCAGGTCTCTGTGGAAACTTCAACCAGAACCAGGCCGATGACCTGCGAGCCCTCAGCGGCGTGGTAGAGGGCACGGCCGCCGCCTTCGCCAACACCTGGAAGACGCAGGCCGCCTGCCCCAACGTGAAGAACATCTTCGAGGACCCCTGCTCCCTCAGCGTGGAGAACGGTACTCTCCCGGGGGCCCTGGCACCACTGCCCGTCCACACAGGATGCCTCGTGTGCTGTCCGGCGGCAGGGCGGGTGGAGCTGGGGGCCCCGATACCTAGGTGTGGGTGAAGGCGGCAGGGTCTGGGGTGGGCAGGGCGGGGTGCTGGCACCCCGTCCCCAGGAAGGGCATCCTGCTGCCCTGTAAGCAGTGCCCACGCAGCAGCGGGGGGAGCCCCGAGTCCCATTCAGTTCCCCAGGGCCGAGGGCCCCCTCAGGGCCGTGAGGAGCGGAGGCTGCGGGTGGGGACAGGGGCGGGGGTGGCGAGCAGCGTGGGGACCGCCACCCCTCTCGGCCCTTGTCCCAGAGAACTACGCCCAGCACTGGTGCTCCCTGCTGACCAGCGCGGCCGGTGCCTTCTCGCCTTGCCACTCCATCGTCAACCCCGCACCTTTCCACGCGGTGAGACGCCTGGCCCGCCGGAAACCCCCAGGTCTCGGGTGCGATGGGGTGCTGGAGCAGGGCCTGCCCCGCCTGGAGCTGTCTCCCCAAACCTCCCTTTTGGGATTTCCTCTGTCAAGGGCCGAGCTCTGTGAAGGCTCCAGGGGAGGGTCCTTCCCGCCCCTCCCAGCTTCTGGGGCTGCAGGCTTCCCTGGGCCGTGGCCACGTCACCCCGGTCTCAGCCTCTGGTGTCATGTGGCCTGTCCGCAGCCCCGTGTCTGTGCGCAAGTCTCTTCCTCTAAGGGTCCTGTCACGTTGGGTCAGACGGCCCTCATGACCTCTGCAAGGAGCCTACTGCAGTGAAGTCACTTGTACAGGCCCGGGGGTTGTCTTTCTGGGGGACACAACTCACGCCCCCAGTCTGGCTGTTTTCGAGAGCAAGTGCGGGGAGGATGTGGGGGAGCTAGAAGCCTGTGTGCTGTGGTGGGGATGCAGCCCCTGTGAGGAACAGCGGGGCCGTTCCTCCAAAAACGACCCACGACCGCGGGCCCCCAGGCCACTTTCGTGTCAGCTTAGAGCCGTGCAGCACCCATGACCCCAAGCCCGGGTGCGTCTGTGCAGGAGACAGGCCCAGCCTGCCCGGCTCCCTCCCCGCCGTCGTCCACACCCCCCAGAAGTGTATCTATCTAGTATCCAAGCTGGACCTGTCCTGGTCCCGCAGAGACCCCTCCCGTAGACCCCGAGCTCAGCTCGGCTCCGCACTTCCTGCTGGGTCCCCGGCCCAGCCTGTCCCATCACTGGGCGGCCTTCCACGAAGCTGGGGGCCCCCAGCTCAGGCGAAGGTCCCCGGAAGAATGAACAGGGAGAGGAGGGATGCTGGCGGGCGGGGGTCCCTGACGCCCCCGACGCCCGGCCGTCCCCAGAACTGCCTGTTCGACACCTGTAACTGTGAGAAGAGCGAGGACTGTCTCTGCGCGGCCCTGTCCTCCTACGCGCGCGCCTGCGCCGCCAAGGGCGTGCTGCTCAGCGGCTGGCGGGCCGGCGTCTGCGGTGAGCGCACGG